GGGGGCGGGGCACATGACGAAGCCCCGCCCCCTGCTTCCAGCCGCCCCGCTTCCGGCCCTCATTCAGCCAGGAGGAGGCAGGAGAAGAGGGAGGGTAAGTTGCTTCCTCCCCGCCTCTCCCCGCCCCTGCCTGCCTGGGGCAAGGGAGGGCCTTGGCGGGGCTTCCTCGCACTCCCGCTGGCCTTGCAGGTCCACCGCCGGGCCCCTGATGTCAGGGTGTGTGGCATATGCTAATGAGTTATGCTAATGAGTTCCCCTAGCTCTTTTTCTACGAAATGACCCCTGCTACCTTCCTTCCCCATGGGTGAACCAGGCCTGGGATAGGATGCAGCCACTATGCATCTATCCTTGTTGCTTCACAGGTGCCTTCCTCCAACTGTTACTTTGGTGTGTTGTGGAACAGCTAGAGTACTGTTCGTTGACAGCAGGTGTGATTCAGTCATTTCTCTCTTTCCTTGGTGCCTCAGAGTCTTTCAAGGGACACCATCTTTCTCCCCTGGTCAAGTTGCCGGGTCTTTGTGCAACACAAGAGTCCTGCAGGTCTTTTGAGTCACAGTAGTGATGGGAAATTTTCCTGCCTCGTGAGATTTGGTGGTGGTGTGGACAGACCCAGAAGCTCAGCTGATACTAGTTGAAAGTCGGCTTTTGAGTTCCACCTCCAGACTTCTAACTAGGTCCCTGCAAGGCGGAAACTCTGCAAGAAGTTTAAGAGGCAGTTTATGTTTGAAAGTCATTCAAGCTGTTCATCGAGAGCTGAACAGATTGGCTCACTTGTGCTTGGGACAGGCAAAAATACTGTGTCTGGCTGTCAAACACATCCATTGTGAAATTCACAGCATGTCTAGCCCAGAGTGACATCTCTTCCTAGAAGGGAGCATGGATTTGAACCCATACTTTTCAGGTCCAGGTCATGTCCCTTAGCTATGGAATCCCTTTCTCTCTCTCTCTGACATTTTATTTGCTTTCTAATCAGGTGTGTTGGTTTTAAAAGGTTTTTTTTTTAAGTATTGCCAGTTGGTATCTGCAAACTACAATTCATACACTAAGGGTCTGAAACTCAGAATCAGTTGCCTTGACAAGTTGTGGACAGTGACCTTAGTTTGGTAATACATTAACTAGCATTATTACCAGTCTAAAGTTCAAAGATCTTTCCATTAATTTTTCAAGGGATTTGTACAGGAAACCTCCTGGTGGATTGGGCTCTGTACATTACATCGACATAAACACTCATTCCATCTCCATTTTGAAAAACTTCCTTCTTTATCCTAATTCATTCCACGTTGTTCAGACATCTATCCACTTTCCTTGTTTTCAGGCAGATCTGTCGGGGAGGGGGGTAAGGTTAAAAATGTTCTATTGGTTCATAAGAGCCTGATAGAAATTAAAAAAAGAATGATAAGGGGAACCAGGATGGAAGGGGATAGAAAGAGATGAAATTAATAGTGCAGGTGAAAACTCTTATTTGCACATTTAAGTCTGTGGTTTGGATCCAAAGCAAGCAGAATCACAGAATCACAGCGCTGGAAGGGGCCATACAGGCCGTCTAGTTCAACCCCCTGCTCAATGCAGGATCCGTCTAGAGCATCCCTAGGCAGCTGAAGCTTGTGAAATAGGACTTGCTCAGGCACTCAGCTCTTGCTGAAACCCACTGAGCCACCAAAAATTCTGCTCCTTGTGGGCCCCGGAATTGTGAGGTTCTGCACTGGGAGTGGGGAATCAGCAAAAACGAGCCCCTTCCAACAGCCTTGCTTTAATCCTGACAAGAGTAACTTTGGATCTAACCCAGTGTGTGAGAGCCAGTGTGGTGCTGTGGTTAGAGTGCTGGGATTTGGGAGATCTGGGTTTGAATCCTCACTCAAAGCTTTCTGGGTGACCCTGGGCCAGTCACACGCTCTCAGTCTCACCTACCTCACAGGGGTTATTTGTTGTGAGAATAAAATGGAGGAAGAGAGGCCAGTGCTGTAAGTCACTTTGGGTCCCCACCACTGGGAAGAAAAGTGGAGTATAACTGGAATAAATGAATAAAATATCTATGGTTAAAATTCATAAAGTAAAAGATACCAGATTATTATTGATTGGTTGTGAAGGGGTAATGGCTATGAGAGGAAGGATATTGGCTAGAAAAACTCTTGTCAATTAAAGAGGCATGTGATTTTTGCAAACAGAAACTAGAAAAGAAAACTTTGGTGGAGATGGTTCCTAGGATGGGGAGGGTGCCCCTTGCAGACTCACCTAAATACCACCTAGAGCAAACACAGTCCTTGGCAGGGGATATTTCACCAGTGTTTTCTTTTATGTATCTTACAGGACCTTATGTCCAGCTCCTTATGATCCGGAATGAGCTCCGCATGGAAGGCTTCCTGGTAACACAGTGGGAAAACAGGAAGGAAGAAGGTCTGAAAGCTCTGTTGAAATGGGTCATGGAGGTAAGGAAGAGAGGCCTGACCGCTCTGGGTTTTCTTTGGACTTGTAAGTGGATGAGGATAGCCATTTATCATGCATATGCATTCAATGCCCCCAAGCATTTCCCCTTCTCAGTCAAGGGAAAGGGTCAAATTATATCAAACCTAGAGCAGAAAATAAAATGGTGGCTCTTGGGTTGGCCTGTGTCCAGTTGCCAAAATGCTGCTGTTTGGATTTCTCCTTTTTAAAAGGGTCAGGTAGGATGAGTAGAATGCCATGCAGAGCAGAAATATGAATGCTCTACATGACAAGAATGCTTGTTAACCCCTTTAATGGTACTTTACAGGTTCCTTATTTGCTTTCTCATTCACAAACATTGTAAGGCATTTCAGGCTGAGATAGTTATCTGAACATGGGAGGAGAGTATGTATTTGAGGGAGGAGAGGTCTATCAATGCCTACTAGCTGTGGTGACTAAAGGACCTTCCCCCCATGTTCAGAGGCAGTAAACCTGTGAATACCAGTGCTGGGAGGCGACATCAGGGGAAGGCCTCTATGTCCTGTTGTTGGACCTCCAGAAGAACTGGTTGGCCACTGTGTGAGACAGGATGCTGAACTAGATGGACCACTGGTCTGATCCATCAGAGCTCTTATGTTTTTAGAAATTTCTTCAAGATGCTTCCATATTGCTTACGTTGATGATATGGAAACAGATTATTGTGAGATAGAAAGAGAGAGCATGAGGATAAGAATATAAGAGAAGCCAATGTTGGATCAGGCCAATGGTCCATCCAGTCCAACACTGCCACACAGTGGCCAAAAATACCAGGTGCCATCAGGAAGTCCAGCAGTGTGGCCAGGACACTAGAAGCCTTCCCACTGAAACCCCCCCCCCCGGCACCATGAATACAGTGCATCATTTGCCCCAGCCTGGGAGTTCCCATCTATACCTTGTGGCTAATAGCCACTGATGGACCTCTGCTCCGTATGTTTACCTAATTCCCTCTTGAAGCCGTCCATGCTTGTACCTCCTGTGGCAGTGAATTCTATGTGTTAATTACTCTTTGGGTGAAGAAGTAATTCCTTTTATCCATTCTAACCCGACTGCTCAGCAATTTCATTGAGTGCCCATGAGTTCTTGTATTGTAAGAAAGGGAGAAAAGTACTTCTTTCTCTACCTGCTCTATCCCATGCATAATCTTGTAAACCTCAATCATGTCACCCCTCAGCCGTCGTTTGTCCAAACTAAAGAGCCCCAAGCACTTTAACCTTTCTTCATAGGGTCTGAAAACACACTGAGTTTTTCTTCTTGAATACAGCCATGCATGAGTCTTTAAGCCTTGACCAGTGTGTGTTCTCCTCCTCCCTAAAGAGAACTTGTAACTTAAAAGCAGGAAACAGGCATGAGGAGGAATTGTCCAACATTATTAATCCACTTTTCAATCTCTTTTTTTGCACAGGGAAAAATTAAGTGGGAAGAATACGTCACTGAAGGATTTAAGAACATGCCAGCAGCATTTTTAGGAATGCTAAAGGGAGACAACACCGGCAAGGCAATCATAAAAGTGTAAAAGGCACATGGCTCTTCCTTCCAATAATTTTAGCACACTGAATTCCTACCTACACCTTCTTTAATTGCACATTGTCTCTTGGCCAGAAGCTCATTCATAAACATGCTTGATTTTGTAATAAAACAGACATAAGCTAATATGACACAGTTATGGCAACAGCCTTGGTTAGTTTATTGCATCAGATCCAACAGTCAAACTAGCTACAGTGGAAGCTGATGGGTGTGTTGAAACCTGAATCTGTGATCACTTAACTGAGTCCCCCTTGTAACTTCCTATGGCTGCTGTTTGCATAGAAAACAGGAAGCTCCCACATTAATGGTGCTCATTCCAAGACCAGCTCAGGGTAGTCCAGGTAGGGATGCCAGCTTCTAGGGGGAAATTCAGCAACAACATCCGTGACAAAAACAACGAAGGGTCAATAAAAATATGTTGCAAAATCATTTACTGTAGTAATTCTGTAGAAAATTCTCTTCGATTATCGCTCACTTGCTAACGAATGCTGCACACTGTAAACATTTCGTTTCCACAATATTTGCTTTATCTGAGCATGTAGCAATCACAATTCTTATTACTAGAAGGAAGAAGATACACATTCAATTATAAATGTAGCTTAAAAATCATAATAAACCTTTACACTCAAAACTGTCGCAACTGTTACTTATCAACTCTTCTTTTTTTTTAGGCCCCCCGAAGAGGATTTTTATTGCATTTTTTAAAAAATTATTAAATTTATTAATGACACTATATACATACAAAAACACAACACATACCTCTAACACACAAACTAATACATCACAACAACTATTAAACATATATAACTTATAACAGATCCTTCAACTCCCCTTGCATGGCTGAAATCATATTTTCCATAAAGTTTTATAAATTTACATTGGATTCTAGCCATTTATATACATGTGACCAAACCTTTTGAAACGTTGAATTCATATTTCCATGCAATTTATGAGTTAAATTATCCATTTCAATCACTGTGCTGTCCGGGTATGGTAATTATAGGGTTAACAGCTTGTACTTTGCAAAGAACTCTTGGGAGACACGGCTGCTGGCCTCGCACCCTTCTGAACAGTTGGTTCCCCTACACCCGTGGAGACAGTTAGCTGAAGAGAAGTACTGCTCTTTACCGATGGACTGTTATGCGTTGCCAACAGATGTACCTTGTCGTGTTATGGAATAAAGTAAGCCCATGTTTTTCACACTATAAGGATTCCTGTGATAAGCTTTGCCTCTAACGTCTGTCTGGTTAACATTCACTGCCAGAATCCGATGTCTGGGCAGTACAATCACCTCTATTACTTTATTAATAAAGTCCCATTTGTGTGGTATCTTTTCATTCTTCCAAAACTTTGCAAGTACTATTCTTGCTGACACTATTAAGCATGACACTACATATTTTTCATCTTTTTTCCATTTTTCAGGAAATATGTTCAATAAAAATATTTCAGGATCTAACTAGATTTGCATTTTGGTTATTTGTACTAATATGGTCTGAACCTCCCCCCGAAGAGGATTTTTATTGCATTTTTAATAGACTACAAACTACAATGAAAAATTGGGAAGGGGTAACTACATCTAGGGAGAAAGGAAAGAAAACCACTACTAACTAAAACCCCAAGTATAGGAGATCATAACAACAGCTTATATAACTGTTAATCTTAAATTGCTAGTATTACTTTGAACATAGTTGGTTATGCTATTTTTGTATCTTTTTATCCATTAATTTAACTGTTTAAGAGAACCCCCAGAGCATCCCATAATAAAAATAACGTTTTAAGGCACAATTCAGAGTCCTTCAGCCTTCATTTTGTCTTATCTTTTCTAATCCTCAGTTTATGCAGAGAACCTTTATTTGGCATACCACCTCAGTTTATATGTACGTTTGGGGGCAGCCACTCCCTTATCAAAAAGAGAGTCATCGTCGGAAGACACTGAGTCCAATTCGCCACTGGATTTGCTATCATCTTCTTCCTTCTTGACCTCAGCTATCTCTCCTAGCTACACTCTCAGGAACTCACGTGCTTTGGAGACAGAGTCTTTTAGTATCTGGATGATGTTGTCCCCGATTTTCAAGGGTGTTCCTGTAGTTGCTTTCAAGATAGAATCCCTCACATGCCGCTTTGAGAATCTGACCACTATTTCCCCAGGCAGATTATTCTACTTGATGTACACGGAATAGGACCTGTAGACCACATCCATTTTGCTTGCGAGATACTCTACTTTCAAATCTGTAACTGGGGCTAATGCTTCACTCAGGAGTTGCTTTAGATTCTCATCTTTTAATTCTGGGACCCCTTGAAACCGTAGGACCAAATTTGCTTTTTCCATTTGCAGCTGTAAAAGTTGTGATTTTTCCAAAGCTTGTTTCTTTTCCAGCTTTTGCACCTTTTTCTTGACTTTTTTAGTGTTGGCATCCATTTCCTTCACCTTCTCAGCCGTTTGCTCCGTTATTTTTAAAGTCTCAGTCAGTTGGAGCTGCTGAGTTGCAAGATTCTGGTTTAGAGTTGTCAGCTGTTTGATGTTAGTCATCTGGTCCAGCAGAGGGCGCAAGGAATCTGCCAACATTTTGGAGAACTCAGTGACCTCTTCCGGTCAAGGGCTCATGGTCCCCGCTGGTTTGTCTTTCTCTGCCCTCTTCCCTGCCATCTTTATGGATTGTTTACTTTTATGAAAACTTGCTAAAGTCTCTGAAATACGCCCATATGCTTATCCGCGCTCTGGTAAGTCTCTCAAAACAGACCTCTTGCACTGGCGAAGAGGTCACCCCTCAAAAGCCCCATGGCTAGGAGCCTTTTGCCAAGGCTCTGGGGGGGTAGCAACCAGTCTCTCCCCCTCCTATCTGCTGGTGCGCCGATCACATCCCCGGGAGGTTCTGGAGATGCGTCCGCCAGTGTGTCGCCATAAACCGGAAGTCTACTTATCAACTCTTGAAGGAAACATTCCATGTTGACTCTAATAACAGAACCCAAAGTCTACAGTAAATGATTTTGCAACATATCTTTATTGACTCTTTGTTATTTTTGTCATGGATGTTGTTGTTGGATTTCCACTTCCTCCCGTGATCTCTCATTTTTTGCAGCTTCTAGGTGGAACCAGGGGGTTTCCCAGAATTACAGCTCATCTCCAGAGTACAGAAATTAGTTCCCCTGCAGAAAAATGATGCTTTGGAGGGTGGACTTTGTGGCACTGAACCCCACTGGGGCCTCTGTCCTCCCCAGGCTCCATCCCCAAATCTCCAGAAGTTTCCCAACTTGAATCTGGCAACCCTGATTAATTAATTCCCCCCCTTCCCCCCCAGCAACTGGCAGGGGGACCTGGCAACCCTCGGACTCCCAGGTTTTTCCTCTTAAAACTGCATTAAAAATAAACCTTGGATAATTAATCCTCCTTTAAGGGGGTGGGGTTTGTGGAGTGGCTGCGGAGGAGTGACCACGTGGACAGTCCATCCCTTGCCGCTGCGGAGTTGGGGGGTGGAGCTAACCTCTGCCTTCAGAATGGCACAGAGCAGCTTGCTGCTGCATTTCATTGCCTGGTTTTTAACTACTTAAAAAGCTCTTTCACCATTCCGTGCTAAGCCATGTGTTAGCATTACAGCATGGCTCAGTAGGAGAAGTGAGGATAAAAGAGGGATCATGCACTCTGGGGCATCCCGATGAAATCACCATCACACCTGTGCTTTTGTGTAGATTCAGTAGGAAAGGGGGGGGGGACAGGTGTTGGGGGGGTATGGACACTGTTTCTACCTGTTCCTGTGCCACTTGCTGCTATGGTGAAGGTGTGTAGCGAGGACTGCAGATTCCCCAAGTGCTTGCTTTTTCAAAACTTGATTACTCTAACCTGTGGTAAATTATCTTTTGGTTTCATCAGAAGCAGGAAGTGTGGGTTCCCCCCCCCCCCAGTTGTGAATTATTTTGGTTTTTAATAAAAGGGTAGACAGAAACTGGGAGGCTGCAGTAAGGATGAAGTCCCACATCCGGTTCCTGCCATCACCAAAGTTGTTTTCAGTCATTCCCTACAAACTAGCTTCCTGTGGGTGACGGAGGAGGCCACAGGCAATGACTCTCAGCCTCAGGTGTGTACCTTTTCTTAGCAACCAGGGCTCTTCCCTAAGTGTGCCAGCAAGGGTCTCCCTCCTATAGCGGAGTTGCTCCTGCTGCTGTCCTAACATTAGTGTCAGCTAAGGTTGCCCGCTCTGGGTTGGGAAATACCTGGATATTTTTGGGGTGGGAGGGACTTCAAACAGGGTCTCATGCCATAGCGTCCAGTCCACCTTCCAAAGCAGCCATTGTTTCCAGGTGAACTGATTTCTATCACCTGGAGATCAGTTGTAATCCCAGGAGATCTCCAGCCGCCACCTGGAGTTTGTAAGTGAACAAAAATCAACTGTGACACTATTATGCCATCTATTCAGTAATTATATCAAGCATGTATATTATGGTACAAATTACAAAACACGTTGCAATACAAAATATACAAATATTTAGAGTGTCCTTGTAAGCCAAACTGTCCCTGCTCAAAGTTCCTCTGAATAGAACAGCTCAAAGTCGCTTAACACAGCCCTTCTTTGATGTAGAGGTCAGTTATTCCAAATATCTGATCAACTGTCACGGCTCAGAGGAACTTTGAGCAGAGTTTGGTTTACAAGGACACTCTAAATATTTGCATATTTCGTATTGCAATGTGTCCTGTGATTTGTGCCATAATATACATGCTTGATAATTATTGAATGGACCGCATAATATGTTTACTTACAACCTGTCCCATGATCTCATGTTTGTATAACCACCTGGAGGTTGGCAACTCTAGCGGCAGCTGTTCTAAGTAGACCAATCCCATCTTCTACGCCTGCTTGACTGTGTGTGTTCTCTGTACAAGCAGAGCGGACTCTGGAACCCGCATGAACTTCTGCATGAGGTTTGCACAGTCTTTTATTTGGTAAATTCTATTCAAACGTGAAGAGCAATGGAGGACGCTTCCTTGAGCACCCCCCCCCCCACTATAAATCCTACTCTTCCGCAGCCCTGACTGGCTGAGACTTTGTAGCAGGAACTCCTTTGCATATTAGGCCACACACCCCTAATGTAGCCAATCCTCCAAGAGTTTACAGAGCTCTTCTTACAGGGGCTACTGTAAGCTCTTGGAGGATTGGCTACATTAGGGGTGTGTCGCTTAATATGCAAATGAGTACCTGCTACAAAAAGAGCCCTGATTTGGGCCCAGATACATCATGAACTGAGTCAGAGCTGCTCCAAAAGGCATGGCATGCAGATAAACCAGGGTAGGATCCTTTTGTTCCTTTTTAAAGGAGATGGGTGATACAATAAGTTGCGGCTCAGTGTCAAGAGCATCTGTTTCGCTTGCGGAAGATCTCTAGTTCAATTCCCAGCATGTCCAATTAAATACTTCTCTTTATGTCCTACTTTCTCCCCGGGGGGGGGGTGTGTGGAATGGGACCCAAAGCTGCTTATATTGTTCTGATCTTCATTTTATCTTCACGGCAAGCCTGGGGGTAGGTTAGGCTGAGGTGCCTAAGGTCACCCAGCAAGCTTTCACGACAGAGTAGGGATTTGAACGTGGGCTTCACAGATCCTAGTCACACACTTTAACCACTACACCCTACTGCCTCTCAATAGGCAACAAGTGACTTCTAACTGAAACCCGGAAAAGCTACTGACAGAGTAGACAATACCTTGCTAGAACAACAGTCAGAATCAGCACAAGGAACATACACTGTGTTTTCATTTAGCGGGACGTTATACCCCATTAAAAATAGAGTTTATATTGTATTTCCTGTATAAGATGAAAAAAATGTAGCATTGTTAACAGTGTGTCACTTTACCCAAGTTTTTCCCAATAAAAACATGAGAACCAAATTTGGTGGCAGAGTATCGGTCAGTCTGATTTAACTCTATCTCCTCTGGCAAGCAGCAACTCTTCATTATCTTAGATCAGGGAAAGTCTTTCCTTTACACCTGACAGACAGTAACTTTCAGGACAAGATTCCAGGGATTGATTTGGAGTGACAGCCTCTTTTGCACACCTACTTAGAATCAGAGAGTTGGAAAGGACCCCCAGGATCATCCAGTCTAACCCCCTGCACAATGCAGGAAATTCACAAACAACACACACACACAAGACCAATGCTCTCTAAGCTGTGGATTCTGGTGAGCAAAATTTCTACTTTGTGAGCTATTGGCAGTAAAGTTGTGAGTGAGCGATATGGTTCCGCGTAAATTACTTTGCTCTGGAGCCACCCTTCCTGAGCTAAGAGGAAAATGTGTGAGCCGGAGGCTAAAAAACTGAGCCAGCTCACACTAACTCAGCTTAGCGGGAACACTGTCAGTGACTCCTGCTCCATGTGAAGAAGATGGTAAAAAAAAAACCTCCAGGATCCCTGGCCAAATTGGACTGGAGAAAATTGCTTTCTGACCCCAAAGTGTTGATCGGCATTTCCCTTGAGTCCCATACTAGAAGGAATCTGGTATAATTTGTATTTCCCCCCCCACTTACGACATCCACACCAGCCAGCCTTCTAAAAGACAGGTTTTAGATCAGTCAGATAAAAGGGGCTGTACATTCAGAAACAAGTTTGGGAACTTTTAATAGGCTTCCACGATAACGCTGACCCTGGCCTGAAGAACAAGTGCAAGAACTCGTTCCTTGTAACAGGTGCAAGTACTTTGTGTCATGAAATGTATTCAGAGCACAAACTTTCTCATGCCACCCACTGTGGCAGTGCCCAAGTTCTACCACCACTTGAGTAAACTGCTGCAACTTAGCTGGCTATTCCCCCTGCACACCTCTATCTATGCAAAACTCTCCATTGGTATGCACAGAATACATACGTTGAGAGAAGCATGAAGGAAGTTCTTTTTCTGTTTCTGGCAACATATGGGGGAAGTTGTGTTTTTTTTTTTTAAGCTGTATAGATTTACATGCTTAAGTGCAGGTAACCATACCTGGCTTCCGGGGCCCCCCCCTCCCCAGTGATTTCCAATTAGTGCAATGTTGTGTGTGGAGAGGGCTATCGTTGGTTTCTGGTGCATAGCTCTGATGTTCACGGTCCCACGGAGAAGATGCCGTCTGCTCAGGTTGATGATTATCTGATGCTGGCTGAGCAAGTTCTGCTGTACAAGTAGAAATACAAGGCCTTTGAAGAGCTAAGCAAACATTAACCTTCCTTTCACTGGTCCTGCTCAGACATCAGTGTCTCTCTTGTATCGGCTAAAAGATTCAGATGGAGAGTAGCTCTGGGTGGGGCGAGTGAAGCAGAAAGCGCAAAGGCCATGGAAAACCCTTTCCAAACTAGAGCTAGCCAAGCTGGGCAGGTACAAACTGCCCCTTAACTGACAGGTTAGAAGAATCACAAAAGACTTTGAAAGATCTATGGCAGATGACGGACTGAACCTACACTTCTTTTACACGCTGACAGTACTGCATGTAGGAAAAGCCTGCTGATACCCCAGTCTCCACCACACACCTTGATCAGAACCTGTGTACAGGACTATGTCTAAGGGTAGGCAGGGCCAGATAATGTGGCCGCCAAAGAAACTTTTGAGGCTCCCACCCCACGGCAGACAGCCTGCTGGGTTTACTGGCATCTGTAGAAAAATCCCTACTGTTTTGACTATAGCATGCCAAATACATTTTGAAAGATTCCCTCTTACTTATGCCTATGTCCATAAAAATGTATTTGCACTACCAGCTAGGGTTCCCAAGTACTTACCGCAATCTGGCAGAGGAAACATGCTCCCTGGCTGGACCATTCCTCCCTGTAACGCACCATGCTGTTGCCAGGAAGTGACGCCGGGTGACGCTCTGGCAATGGGGCTGAAAACTCAATGGTACCATTGAGTTTCCAGCCCCATTGCCAGAGTGTCGCCCGGCGTCACTTCCTGGCGATGGCATGGTGTGGCGCATCTGTTGTCTGCGCGGGAATGGTCCTGGGAAGATGTCTGTGTCCCCCGCTGAATCACGGTAAGCACTTGGGAAGCTTGCCACCAGCCAATATGGACTCTTGAAACTCACAGAGGCTGATTAATTGCAAGTAAGGAGGAGGCTGTTCACTGCTGGCTGAAGTCAATTTACAGATGGCAACGGGCAACTGCGACCACCCGAGCTGGATCTGGTGATAAAGCTTGTCCTTATGTGTCTATTGCAACTAGGCCTTAGCAGGAATGCCTCTGTCCACCCCAGAGGCAGCACCAGAGTACCCTACTAACCAAAGTCAACGTACAATGAACTGCAGTGAAAGTTACAAACCTGTTTATACATTTTTATTGTTTCCATTTACAGTAGGAAGAGACAAAGAATTCAGACACATATTCTAACTTGATCACTCTGCTGTGTAGAAAAGGCTATAATTTATAACAGTCAGCACTTCATGAACAGGAAAAGCCCCATGGTTACTGAAACCTCTTGATAGTTTCTTCCAGCTTCTCTTTGTTTGCACCAGAAAACTCATGCACCTGGAAGAGAGAAATTAGTCATTTTAAAAAAGCAAACCACAAACCAGTTCTGTTTCAAGGCTGCCTGGGAGACATTTTAGTAGCAAAGAAACTCAAGAGCCCTTTAATTTTTTTTTTTTGTGTGCCAGGATTTTTAGATCCTTGTTCAAAACATAGGGGGCAGGAGGAGGGTATTCATGCACACACACTCCAACCCCCTTGTTGGGCCTAGGACGGGACATGCCAGCTTAAGTCTTACTGGGTCTTCACAAACTGGTGGATTTCAGGACTTCTAATAAAATTTACAAAACAAGAAGCAGCACTTCAATGATGTTGTCTGGTGATCCCAAGCATCCAATATCCTCTGCAAAGTAATTTTGTTCTTAAGGCTTGGACTAGACTCCACCCAGTTCCTCTTTCTTTGCAAAAATCCCAGCAACTAGGATTCTCTCCCCCCCCCACCACCAACACCATCAAGTCACAGTGACTTATGGTGACTCTGTAGGGTTATCAAGACAAGAGAGGCGGTTGGCCGTTGCCTGCCTGTGCTAAGCAACCCTGGACTTTCTTGGTGGTCTCCCATCCAAGTACGAAGCAGGGCTAACCCTGCTGATCTTCTGAGATCTGACAAGATCGGGCTAACCCAGGCTAGGGTGACCAGGTAGGATGCGCTGGGAATCGGGCACCGATGAATTAGGACCTGCCTTCTGCCCACCCTTGGCTTAGAAAATAACCCCCCTGGTTCAGCCTTTCTACATCCAGGTCAGGTCAATCCTCAATTCAGGATGTTTACTGTAACAAGAGCAATTTCTGAGAGGAGATACACCCTTCCAGTCTTCCCTCTTATGGAGCAGGGGATGGGATAGGCCTCATGCACCCTTTTTAGATGGCACTATGAGAAGAAAATGTGAAACATCTTGCGCCACATTAAAGATGCATCCTCCAAAATGGCCACTTTGACGGTCATCTTTTGCTGGGGGGAAACCCTTTGCAGCACAAGACTGCAGAGATTTCCTTCCTGTTTGCTTGCTTGATTACTTTGGTTAGCCATTACAAAAATCCCACAAAAATACCAGGGATAGAATTAACAAAGACAGTGGCCTGGAATCAGCAAGATCCACACAGACATACACAGAGCACAAGATTTTCACACTTCCTTGATGTTCTCAGAGGTCAGACTCAGGAACAGACAAAAGGGCTGTGGTGGGGGGGGGGGGCGGCAGTGGGAGGGGGATCTGCAGAAATTGCCACCCTCTTCCCAAGATGGAGTTCCTTTAAGTCTTTGGAACCCAGTGGGAGGACCCCAAGCCAGTGCTCTACATGTGCATCAGTGATGTGCCAAGCTCTGTATTGCTCCTCCTCCTCGCCTTTGCCTGGTATTTAGAGTTCTGCTTTGGAATAGAGAGTATAGTAGGAGCTTTAAACCCATCACAAAGCCATCCCCTTCATTCTAGCACCAAATTCTTGCACCAGTGCTGCAACTTTTAAGACCAGATGGCAAGGCAGGGAGTTTCCAAGCCAGCATTAAGGTAGTCCTACAAGTCATGCTCGCAGCAGACCCAGTTTCTCACTGCTCTCTGCAGGGTTGGGTTTTTTTGTCGTGTGTGCATTCGCTCTGAAGAAACAGAAGCAGAATAATAGCAGCACTACAGAAGATGTCCTCCTACATGGGCTTGCCAAAAACATCCAAGACCCAAATGAATGCATGAAGCTGCCTTATAAGCAGCGGCTCTCAGATCTTTCACATCACCCAAACCTTTTAAACTGGGGGTGTTTGAGAATGGAATGTGGGATCCTCTGTATGCAAAGCTGATGCTCTGCTACTGAGCCACAGCCCCTCTTCCTGGCAGGGAGGCAACATGAAAAACTATAGGAGGACTGACAAGATCTTTTAACAACCTAAATTTTGTAACCCATCACTGGTGGAATGCAGGACGCTACACATGCACCAGCTTTTTGGTCTGTTTTTGGTCGGTCTTTTTTCCCCCCCACCAAAAAACAAGCCCGTTTTAGCACTGTAAGCTGCATTTTGCCAGAAAGGTGGGAACAGTATACCTTTTCATTATTCTTGTAGAACTGGAATGTCGGCATGCACTTCACATCACAGTGGGCGGCCACATCCTAGAAGAGATAAAAGGGCCATCTAGATTAGTCCCACAGAGTACTTACATTAGTGAGCAGGAAGGGGAAAGCGCCTTGCTTGAGAAAGCCAAGCCGCTTGTTAAACAGGTATTGTTTGGAGCCAAGACATCACACACATTTAACAAGGCAGACGCAGGCTTTTGTATGAAGTATACATGATGCAGTACTGCTTCTCTTAAGTCAGAGCAGAAGCCATTGAAGCGGTAACAGCCTTTTGGTTCCGAAGACCTCTCCAATGCATACACTGGCTTCATGGCTTCTCCCCCCCCCCCGCTGCCCCCTCCCAGAATCCTAAGAACTGTATTTTGGCAAATGGCAAAGAACTGCCATGTGGGACTCCTTGCCAAACAGAATGGAAAGCATCAAACTTCAGTAGCACCTTGAAGACCAACAAAAAAATTCTAGGGTATACGCTTCCATGAGCCAAAGCTCACTTTGCAGGATGACACAAATACCCCGCCAGAAGTGACAATTATTAAGAGTCTATTGCAAGGCAGAAATTACCATTCAACTAGTTTTACACCACAGATTTTTCAGTCTTCTCCACAAGCCAGAAAGTTCAGCCACGTTTTGAAACATTGCAAGACTCTCAGAAGGACCAACTTTGTACTAAGATACGGGATGGAGGCTTTACCCTTTGCGCTCCCACAGTCCTGGTGGTGACTTCCCCCTTTTGCTGACCAGCCACGAGAAGGAGTCTCGCCCGTCCCTTTTTGTTTCCACATCTGCTTGAGGTGTTTCTGCATTTCTCAAGTCATGTCTGGGATCAACTGCAGTGCCACTGGGTGGTAACCCAGAGGCTGGCACTTACGCAGAAGGAAGCATAGCCACTACCCTGTATTTAATGAACGGCCCCAGGCCCATTCACCAAGCTCAAAGTACTCACTGCTAAACATGTACTTATGGGGACATCAAAAGCCAAGCAGGTCTGTGACAAAGTTAAACTACTGTTCTCAGTATTTTTTAGAAAAGCAGGCACACTGGTTAAGTAGAAGATCATTTTATAGACTAGTTTTCAGAACTGAGAGATCTTGCTTGACCAGGTATTTGAGTATTTCAAAAGATGCATCACCCTGGACTTGTTTCTCATGACTTGTTAAATCCACCAAGCCACAAGCATCACACAGACCAATGCCCAGAAATCCACAGTGTGCATCCGCTTGTGTTTCTGAAAAGGAGGGCCCTTGACTATGTTAGAGAAGAATTTTAAATGCCGCCTTTCAGCAACACAAGACATCACTTCATGTTTTACTTATTATCATTACAGTGAGTGTTGAATCGTTCTAGGGGATTTGGTATTTAATTCAAGTTGAACTCTCAGCAATGACAAGCTTTCAGTTCAACAGTAAAAAAAGTCAGTGTGGAGCTGGTATAGTGGTACATTTCAGCTCTGAAGCTTTTTGGAACTCAAGTCTGTCAACAGTATCACTACATCAGGTCAAACATGCATGTATTTCTGGTGCTTTACTGTATCACTGAAGTCCTTCAGTCACAAGCTTGTGTTCTTGCTGATGGGTCAACTTCTATCTGAGTGAATGGCAGCAGCCTTCTTATGTGTGCTGGGGGGAGGGGGGGAGATGGCTTTGCATGCACTGCGAGAACAGAGTGACCACATATCCAGGACAAGGGGGCCTTCAGCAGCTCTGTAGAAGAGGACGCTTGAGAAGCGAGACAAGCAAGCTGATGTCAACCTTACTCAGTTCCCTTTCCACCCTCAACTCGTCTTCTGCCACAGGAGAAAGGCATATCTTAAGTTTCAGTTCTCCGTGCCCCACTACCACTAAAAGTTGTCAGCTTTTTTTTTTTTTACTGAAACCATTTCTAGTACAGACTCTCCCATGATCCTCTGCCCTTAGTCCAGAAGGACTGCAAACTTTGTAATCGTCCCAAACTTCAAAATGTCAGCTTATTGATTTCCATCTACACTCAAGGGAATCCTGCTGTTTCCAGCTTACTGATTTCCATCTACGCTGTTTCCAGCTTATTGATTTCCATCTACGCTGAAGGGAATCCTGCTGTTCCAGAGAACCTTATCAAGGATTTCTCAATAAGTCCAGTGGTAGGCTCCCTGTCTGTTCACCAATACCAGTTTTGCCCGCCTGTCCACCAATACCAGTTTTGTCTGCAACGGACAGCCACAAGCAAGTTCCAGGCACATTCCATGGCATGCTCTTATTGAATAAGGCAATACCAGGATCCCGCAGTAGGCTTAAGCCCAGTACTATGCAGCAAGGAGAACTGAAGAAAGATGGCTGCCAGCTTGGAACAACAAGGCCGAGTGTTTTCTCTTTCCAGCTGCAGGAATTCGTAGCCTGGGCACAGCTGGGGGTGTGAGTCTGTGGATTACAGCCAATTCGGATTGATCTGGTGGACACTGGACTAGGACGTCTTGTTTACCCTGTGTGTAAATGTGTTTTAAAGTATGTTATGTAAACTGCTTTGGGTCCCTATTCAGAAGAAAAGCACAATAAAAATATACCAAACAATGTACACAACATGTATTTCCCTGGAATCACAGTATGTATGGTTGGCTCAAGAAACCACCTTGAGCAGCAGTAGCAGATCTTATGAACATTACGTCTTACTAGACTTCCTCCACTCTTAAGCTTGATCTCTCAAAGTCTAGAACTTACCTGAGCATCATCCACGTCGATTTCAATAAATATTACACCTGGGTACTTTTCGGAAAGACTCTGGGGGAAAAAATCGAAACAAGATTTAGACAAAGTTTATGAATTTATATTCCAAAGATCTTGATTTAAGAAGGTCCTAGCAGCACAAGACTGATGTTGCTTTGCTATACTTTAATATATATATTCATACTTAATACATGGCAGAGCTTGATAGAATGCTTAAAGTTTGCACTACGCAAGGACTTTTTAAATGAAATACAGAATTTTCTAAAGAATTTGCTCTGATTTGCTGTTGGGGGGAAGAACAAACAGCACCACAGAAGGGCGAGGATGCCATCTTCTGGACTGCTCAAACACTTCAGTGTCTCTTTTCAACAATTAACACTGGCTAGAACTGGACAAAAGAAAAACAGACATTTGATTTCCAGTGGTCCCATTCCAGGCTCTTATGGAACTGGAGCCTCACTGACAGTATAAACTTGGGGGGAAAGCACCATCTGCTAACTTACATGGAAGAAAGGCTTAATCATTTTGCATGGCCCACACCAAGTGGCAGAGAAGTCAACTACAACAAGTTTTTCACCAGCCTCATTCAAATGTGCATTGAATTCAGTCTGCAAGGAGAGAGAGAGAGAGACCAGATTAGAGTTGTGAAGAAACACTTACAAGCCCCCCCCCTTCAGGTTTGTACCCAGGAGGGCAGAAAACTCTTTCAGCTTCTGCAAACCTCTGCTTGACCAGGTCTCCCTTTTTCCTAGCTCTTCGGGGACGCCGAACACAAACTGGGGTAACGGGCACTGCCACCAGTATCTGAGCGTATCTCCTCCTAAATGGAGCTGCATGCTTACTCTGTAATCTGTACCTGCTCACACTGTACCTACACTGCTGTTCAGAGGTACCACCCAGTTGCCAGGCCTCCCATTTTACTCCTATAAGCCACAGCAGGAGCGATGTACCGCAACTTTGAGGTATCACACTCCAGGGATGGTAAGCTTACCCACCACCCTTCTCTGTTACTGCAGTTCAGAAGCAAGACCAAAACAGGTGTGGGGTATTTCCAGAGACCAGACTCAGAGCATTCAAGTTTAATAAACAAGTAAAAAGAATACATATGGTTCTGTTCAAGCATTCCGTCTGAGCAACAGCGCAAAGAAAAACTGAAAACACTCCGTCTTTCCTTACACTCAGTAGTTATCCTAAAGGATGTTTACATAGGAGAGGCTAGTATCACTTGAAATTGCAGTAGTTCAGCATTACTTTGGTTATCACGGTAGCTGTGACTTCTCCTCATTGTCCCTCGGTAAAAGCTTAGTCCTTCATGGCTTGTGCCCATCCAAAATGAAGAGCAATATGAAAGGAAGTGTGCCCTTCCCAATGTTCCCTCTAAGCTGTGGAGTCTTGTGGGCAAAATTCTACTTTGTAAGCTATTGGCATTAAAGTTGTGAGTAAGCAATTTGGCTATTGCAGAAATTAGTTTGCTCTGGAGCCATCTTTCCAGAGCCAAGACAAAAATCTGTGAGCCGAAAGCTAGAAAAATTGTGAGCTAGCTCACACTAACTCAGCTTAGAGGGAAGACTGCTCTCCACAGGGGTAAAACAGAGTCCCTTGGCTTGCACCCATCCAAGGCGAAGAGAAAGGTGAAAGAACGCTTCTTACAATCTCCCCTGGGGAGTTGGTCCCACCTTGGAGTCATTTTGATCTTCCTGCTTCAAGAGGAAGAGAATATATTCTAATAATTTGCTGTTTCCCTCTCTGTACCTTTCGGTATCATTTTCCAGCAGGGTACAAGGTGGCAAACCATTGTCCTGTTTCAGCCAGAATCACCAGCATAACCAAGCGCTTGCGTGATCTGTGTTTGAGGCCTGATGACTTCTTCCCCTAACCCCTTTTACTTTCTGTCAGGTATGAGTTTGCAACTAGGCTCCTAACTCACTCACACAGTGCAATCACAATGACCAAACTACTGGGGTGAATTCTCAGGTGGCCAACGTCTCTCCATGGAGTGGTAGTAGGCTGTAAGAGGTCAGATTTCCAAAAACACATTACTGTGCCGCGAAGCATACAAAACCCCACTGAATCGACACAAAAGGCCTGGCAATAATCTCTTCAGGTTCCCGTCTACCCTGCCCTGGGCCATATAATGCAATTCAGAAAAGATTTGGCATTACGTCAAAGGTCACGGAGCTTGATCTTCCTTGCTAACATCCTTCCATCAGAACCACAGTTCATCCTTGCAGACCACAAAGCTCTTTACCAGCCTTCCTGGTGATGGAAAGTGCCGTCAAGTCACAGATGACTTACGGGGACCCCGTAGAATTTTCAAGGCAAGAAACTGTTCAGAGGGGGTTTGCCATTGCCCGCCTCCACATCACGATCCTGGTATTCCTTGGAGGTCTCCCATCCAAATACTAGGCAAGGCTGACCCTGCTGAGCTGCACGAGATCTGACAAGATTGGGCTAGCCTGGGCTATCCAGATCAGGTCAGCCTTCCTGCCAAGACGTAAATGAACGGCATAACAGAAGCAAACAAGGAGCCATCTCTCTCTCTCTATTTGAGAAAGCCTCTCCGCTTGGACACAAGTACATTTTACGCCGTGCTCTCTGTGTGTACTACGCTGTGGCTACAGTTATCTGTGCTTTGATAGGAGCTCTTCATCAAGCCCTACTAACCTGGTTTTGCCAACACCTTTTCCTTATTTCTTGCAGAAACACTCCAAAAGAGAGAGAAAGAAACAGTGTAACTGCCAAAAATACACTTTAGTATTTTAAAATTACTGGAAGTTTTCTTATAGTCTTTCAAGAGCCTCCTTATTTTGGAGATCTTTGGGTAAAGGTAAAGGTTCCCTTGCTCGAAAGCCAGTCGAATCCGACTCTAGGGTTGCGGTGCTCATTTCCGTTTCAAAGCCGAAGAGCCAGCGCTGTCCGAAGATGTTTCTGTGGTCATGTGGCTGGCATGACTAAACACCAAGGCGCACGGAACACTGTTACCTTCCCACCAAAGTGGTACCTATTTATCTACTTACAATTTCTTGCTATCGAACTGCTAGATTGGCAGGAGCTGGAACTAGAGATGGGAGCTCACTCCATCATGCGGCACCCAGGTCTCAAACTGCTGAACTACTGACCTTCCACAGCCTGCAGGTCAGTGTCTTAACCACTTGAGCCACCGCAGCTCCAATTTTGGAGATCTTCAGGAGGCAGCCCTAATTCTATAGCTCAGGAGCTATACGGAACCCCCTGCCCTTCCAAGTATCATCAGCACCTTGCAGATGCTTCCTGAAGCCCGAGAACAGGAATTGTAAATCCTAAAGCGGAGAAGCTGGGAGTCTGCATGCTGCTGGTCAGAGCTGCCACCTGATGCCCATTCACTTAGGTCCTGCTTACGTCCATACGACTTGCATTCTGCTAAGCAAGTCTTAATTCAGAACACTTAATTCTGGCTCCTCCTTCAGTATATGCTGCTCCGAGTTCACTGGTTTTCCCTTCGTCTAGTCACCTTCCCCACACTCATGTGAGGCTGGTTATGCCAAGAGCAAGACTATTCTTTATAGCGAAAGGACAACTAGAATGCAGCTCGCTCCAGTTCTAGCCTGACCCCACTATCCAGTCCGGTTCTCAGCAGGACAGGTATAAACAGAAGAGTCCCTTGTTTAAACCTTGCACTCCATGACCTGCCATGGCTTTAAGGAAGCTCCTATTTCTCCTCCACCCCACACCCGTATCAAAGCTTACTTCTACAAGAGTGATGATGGGTCTGATGCAGACTAAAATCAGCATTTTCCAAAGACCACCCTTCCTGGTGCAGACTTCCCCCCCGCCCCTTCCTATTGTTCCTGAGGGTCTCCCTCCCCTAGGAACAGCACTGTAGAGAAATCGGGGCAGGGGACTCCATTCCACTGATGGAAAATTTAGCCTACATCCAAACCAGTCATTCTAAACTTATTTGTTTGGGATTGGCAAGAAGGTGACACAAGGTACTTTGGACACTTTAAAAGAATCTATAAAAAAACATGTTATTCTTACAAAGTTCACATATTCTTGATGGCCGGGGAAGCCATATCTGGCCCATGGGAGCTTTCCACCTAGCCCTTGAGCTACTCAGTTTGTTGAACGTGTCACACTAGACTATAGCAGACCAATCTCACACACACAACACCCAGGGAAGCAGCAGAGTAGGCCACATGTGGTCTCCACCCACAATAAACACTATCTTATCAGTGATGTGGAGTAGAAAGTTTTCCAATGTTATGTTGTTCCATGGAAATTTTACATCACACGTATGTAAATACAGCCTATCACATTAGACGTTGGATATGAAGCAAGGACAAACCCCAGTGTTTCTGCATGATGTATTTGCATTTTTTGCCATCTTCAAATATTGACATTTGCATCAGAAAATTTCTCCAGAAAACCCACATCACTGCTCCCTAGCACTACTTGCTTGCCCAAATGGATATATGTACAAGTTGGAAATCATACAAGACCACCAGAACTGGAGAGAGGAAAACTGAGGATCAGTCTAAAACCAAACTCCAGACATACATTTCAGACCCTCAAATCTGCCTACTTCTCACCTATTGGGGGGGGGGGGGCACTTATCAGGAAGTTGGAGCAAGGAGGAAAGGGAATCACATCCCCCAGTATTTTACTCCTAGTATGCAGCAGATCCCTTCTCTTACAAGGAAATTGGGAGGAGAGGCCTTGGAAGCTCAAACAGTTTTCAGAAACAAGCTGGGGAAAGCAAGACTGGATCTGAGAAGGATTAGGAAGTGATGAGTGGAAGACAAACGCCCCCAAAGCTGGGAAAAAAAACTACTGGGGCAAGGAATATCCCTTACACAAAGATCATCAAGATGGGGTTTGTTTTATTTAGAACACTTTTTAATGCCACCTTTCCACCCAATTCAGGGTCCACAAGGTGGTGAAAGCAAAAAGCATTAAAACATTTCAGCAATTTAAAACAGTTAAAACTGTAAAATAATTTAATTAAAAACACAAGCAAAAATGCTAGGAGAAGGGGTCAATAACCATTACGGGGGGTACAACAGATGAAACCGCTGTGGGGGGAGGGCCACTGCTAACAAAGAGGCCGCAGAGGGATGGATCCAGGGCCAATCGCGGCTTCCGTGCATTTGTCAGCCAAGGCACCAGGCCATCCTCATGCCCTGCGGACCTACGCTCGCTAGGCAATGGGTAAGGAAGATTTGTGCTGTAGGAGCTGCAAGGGTAGTTAGGAAGAAACCTAATGCAGGCCATGGAGACATGCCAATGTAGACTTCAACTCACCTGCCTTCTCCTTGGGCCATAGCTTTCAAGTTCAACTTGAAAGCTTGCTAATAGATTTTTGGTTGCATTCCCAAGGGCCGACTTTAAGTGCCTACACTTTGCTTTTCACAAGCTTCCTAGCATACACCCTTATGTCAATATCTATTTGTATTACATTCTGGACAGCACTCCAATCCATTTCCCTGAAGACTATGAAGTCGGCATAACCTCATCTTCCCGGAGCCGTTCACAGCTATCCAAAAAGCACCACATCTAAATGGAGGCCAATTCAGCATGCTTACCGGAAGGAGCATGACACCAAGAGCCCCCAAATGCTTCACTAAGTGTT